TCGGAGTCGCTGGTCTCAGCATCATCATCACTCAAAACGGGCTCCAAGGGGCTGCTCCAGCCTCGGGTACCCCTATCCCTGCCTCAACCGCGGTGCACATCTCAACCGCGGCGCAGTATTGTGCTGGGGTCTATCTCTCTCTCTCTCTCTCTCCCTCTCTCTCTCTCTCTCTCTCTCTCTCTCTCTCCTCCCTGCTGCTGGAGGAGGTGCTGCCGGTGCTGGTGTTGGTGCTGCCACTGGTACCCTCGATACAAATTGAATCTGGAAAAATAATTGTCAACATATCAACTACAGTGTGTGTATCAGATACAGGCATAGTATGTAGAATGAGTGTCATGCAGAAACCAGATACAATATGAGTACAGTGTATAAATACAATGTGCCAATTCAGTGTATCAGTACAGTTTGGGAAAGACTACAGTGGAAGTGCCAATGTATCAGTGGGAATATGATGTTGTGGTGCACAACAGAGTTAGTAGTAGAATGCATGTTGAAATAGAGAAAAGATACCTGGATACCATGGAGACTAAGCAATATCTCTCTCCTCTACACCATGCCAATTAAAGAAGCAACTAGCTCCGGGGGGCTCTCTATATACTCCATGGGTGCCTGCAAGTGCATTTGAATGATCAACATCTAGAATAATCATCAATATTTGAAATGGAAAATGTGGGGTGCAAATTGTAAAGTGTGGTCCATACTTGATGTAACAACCCTCATACTGTTTACCGATTAATGACTGATTAACTGCTAATTACTGTTAACCGAGACTGATTATGACTGATAGTTGAACTGATTAAAGTATTGAACTGACTGACCGAAATTGAAACTGAATTGAATGAATACATCTGTTTGAATTGCATTCTATCTGTTGATTGTTTATTTTATCTGTTCATGTTTGAGCGTTTAATTGAAGGCCTTATCGGCGGCCGAATTAGTAACCGATTGATGTTTTATGAGCGTCATAATTAATGTAATTTTATGGTATATTTATTTGAAAATTGATTAGGTATGATTAGATTAGATTAAAATAAGCTAATTAAAGAGTTAGGCTTAATTACCTTAATGCCACTTAAGTGGCCCACTACTTGAATCATCTTTGAGCCTCATTACACTCATTCATACACATTCCATCAGCTCATTCCTTAGACTCAACCGACCAAGATAGAGAGTGAGAGAGAATTGAGTGGATCTTGAGTTCATTGGTAGAATTGCTTGAAGATTGAAGTGTGGATTGTTAATTTGAACCTCTAGACTTGCATTCAAGGAACCTAGGTATGAATTTCATCCTTTTGACTTGTGTTTAAGTTGATTCATGCATGATTCATGCTTCATTGTAGAACTAAGTCTTGTTTTGGTTCATTGTTGTTGAATTGGAGCTTGATTGTTGCATGCATGTACATATATTGGAGTTTTGAGGTTGTAGTTCATAATTCCTCACATGCATGTTCATAATTTTGTAATGGTCCATGTTTTCAACTTGTTTTTGGATCAATTGGCTCCCTAGAGCATCAAATTGAAGCTTTAAAATGATTTAAAGATCATGCATATCATGTTTGAGGATTGTCCTTGGAAAATGGTTTGAAATTGGGTTTGAATAAAACACCCTTGGGCTTTGATTTCTCAAATTGAGTTTTGAATCATGTTTAACTATGAGTTTACATGTGTTTTCTGGAAATTTAGCCCAAGAGGTCGAGTTTTGATGCTTTTGAACTTGGTTTTGGAGCTTGGAGGTGCAATCTGGGTTTTCCAGATTTCGCACTTCCGCTCGAGCGGGAGAAGTGACGCTCGAGCGTAGAATGCGAGCATCCAGCATCTCTGCACTGTTTTGCAGTCCGCTCGAGCGGAGGATTGGGCACTCGAGCGGAGTCTTGTCTCAAGCTCGAGCGGGCGTCGAGCGGAGATTTCACCCATCCAGTACTTTTACAGTACGCTCGAGCGGGAAAGTTTACGCTCGAGCGTGTACCTTTGTTGCATGACCGCTCGAGCGGGGAAACCTGAGCTCGAGCGGGACT